GGACTTTGAGTGACAATGATATGTCAGTGTGGGTTTATACATTTTAATAAATGTAACACTGTGGTGAGGGATGTCAACAGTGGGGGAGGTTTGGCCTGAGTGGTGGTAGGAGTTATATAGAAACTACTTTCTGCCCAATTTTGCTGTGAACTTCAAACTGCTGTAAAATATATAATCTATTTTTAAAAAATGAATTGGTCAAGAGGATTTGATAGAGAAATTTCAGGAGCCAACAGACTGAATGAAGGTTCCAGCATGTAGAGACCTGATGTTTCAATGTATAAGCCCTATGGATAATTTTTTTTCTTTTCATGTTTTTAAAAAATTTTGGTATCATTAATGTACTATTACATAAGCAACATTATGTTTACTAGACTCCGCCCATCATCAAGTCCCCACCACATACCCCATTACAGTCACTGTCCATCAGCATAGTAAGATGCTATAGAATCACTACTTGTCTTCTCTGTGTTGTACAGCCTTCCCAGTGCCCACACCCTACATTATGTCTGCTAATAGTAATGCCCCTTTGTGTCCCTTTATCCCTCTCTTGCCCCCATCCTCCCCAGAACCCTTCCCTTTGGTAACTGTTAGTCCGTTCTTGGGTTCTGTGAGTCTGCTGCTGTTTTGTTCCTTCAGTTTTTTTTTTTTTTATTCTTATACCCCACATATGAGTGAAATCATTTGAAACTTGTCTTCTTCCACCTGGCTTATTTCACTAAGCATAATACCCTCTAACTCCACCCATGTTGTTGCAAATGGTAGGATTTGTTTTTTCTTATGGCTGAATAATATTCCATAGTGTATATGTACCACATCTTCTTTATCCATTCATCTACTGATGGACACTTAGGTGGCTTCCATTTCTTGGCTATTGTAAATAGTGCTGCGATAAATATAGGGGTGCATCTGTCTTTTTTAAACTGGGCTGCTGCATTCTTAGGGTAAATTTCTAGGAGTGGAATTACTGGGTCAAATGGTATTTCTATTTTGAGCTTTTTGAGGAACCTCCATATTGCTTTCCACAATGGTTGAACAAATTTACATTCCCACCAGCAGTATAGGAGGGTTCCCCTTTCTCCACAACCTTGCCAGTATTTGTTGTTGTTTGTCTTTTGGATGGTGCGATCCTTACTGGTGTGAGGTCATATCTCATTGTGGTTTTAATTTGCATTTCTCTGATGACAAGTGATGTGGAGCATCTTTTCA